CAAGTATCGAACTACGGCAAATACTTGTTTAGAGTTAACTTGGCTGAGATACATTTTTCAAGACTTGAAAGTTCTATTGTAGGAACCAACATTATTGTATTGTGATAATCGAGCAGTCTTGCATATAGTCGCCAATCCAGTTTTTTACGAACATACAAAGCACATAGAAATAGGTGTCATATAGTTCGGAAAAAGTTACAAGCTGAAACATCAAACCATGTTATGTTTCAACTAAAATGCAATTAGCAAATGTTTTCACTACCGTTTTGGCAAGACAGCAATTTGATTTTCTGGATAAACTATGATTTAGTCGATAGTTTTTATCATGAAAATTAATGAAAATCGGATTTTCATTCCCAGTTGAGTTTCTCATTTTTAACATCTAAGTTTATTGCTTCATGATTTATCAATTGATGTGTTGTTATGTTGTTGTTTTATAGTTTATTCATGCATTAATTTAGGGAGAGAATTAACTTTGGAGTGAATTTTAAGTACGAGCTTTATGGTAATGTGAATTTCAAGTTTGAGTTCTATGGTGATATATTAGAATATATTATTATTATTATTATTATTTGGATATATGTATTACTTAGCTATTATGAACTTCGAGTTATTTTATTTAACGGGTAATTATAAAAAAAATGAAACATACTGTTCTTAATTACTAATAATTATAGTGTTTTAAATTGTTCACAGTAGAGAGTTTGAAATAACAATTACGAAGCCTTTTAAATAAAAAATATCTAATATAATGACGAGTCAATCCGTAGACGTGGAGTCTTGGAAGGTTGACATTCATGGGATTCGAAGACATTTTTATTGAAGTAATTTGTAATTACAAGAAAGAGACATTGTTGCTTTTTGACATTAAATCTCAAATGAGTAGTAGGTTTCCATGGGTTTTACTTTAGACTCTAAGAAGTTCGGGTTGTACAACTATTTGAGCTTTTGGGAAGACCACAAAGTTCGAAACGTTTCTCTAGACTAAATCTTACCTCTAGCGATCTATACAAGTTATCTAACCTTTCTATTCTCGACTTAGGTAGCATGCTTTGTCTATGCAGCACAGTGACCAACATTTTGAGTTAAACGGCTACCTCATTAAATTCTAATGATATAGTATGGCATTTGTAATCTGAAATATCATTCATGAAAAGTTAGTAAGGACACTCCATAGGACTATAAAGCAACTAGTTTGGGGGAAACCTTGTGTGCTAGCCACTATTGAGTCGATCTACCTAGTCCCACGCTCCTATCTCAGAACGATTTACAGCACAACACCCTATTTAAGAGATCCCGGGTCATTTCCACAAGTTAGGGCACCAAGTCATCTCGACGCACTACCCTAACTGCCCTAGTTGAAAGTACTGGTACTAGATTAGAAATAGTAGCAAAGGCTCTGATGACACCGCTCATACTGTCAATAGCCACTACTAATTAACATTAAAAGGAAAGAAAACTCGTTCCTAAACTTGTGATTTAAATCACTCCACAAGAGATTTAATCAATACTATTTGACTGACTCTAGCATGCAAATTCTAAACACATAATTTACTAAGTGCCTCCAACAAATCTAAAATAGAAATTTTATTCTTTTCAATTAAAAAATGTAATATCTACCGAGAAAGAGTATAAGGTTTTATAGTCTTTGACAGCCTTAACCTATGTGAGTTAAATACACATATAATCTCTATATTAAAATTACTAGTTAATGAGAAACACACTCATAGCTTCCATATTAAAATGGGTTAGTCAAAGTCAAGGATGGAATATGGTAATCTATCTAGGTTACAATATAACTTTAACTTCCCTATTAAAAGAGGTTGAAATTACCATTACAATAATGTAATAAAAGAATTGTGCTATCTAGTAACCATTGTTTGACTAAATTCCATAACTTCGATTATGAGTTCATTAAATAAGTTAAAATGTATTTAATGCATCTCTATCTTAAATCTCAATTTTGTACAAAAAGTAGGGAATGACCTCAACATCTTCGAAAATTTTCTTTGACGAGCTCAGCATAGCTTGAATATAAGTGACTAAAACTCGTTGTAACTTTTTGACTCTCATTGTTGTAACTTTTTGACTCTTATTATTGTAATTGGCCTTGAGGTACGAAAACTCTTTGGTTTTGGTTCATATCACCTAATTTATTCATTTTTGGATGTCATGGAGGTCTACTAGGTTCTTAGGGGTAACTAGACGGTTTAAATCTCATCTATCATTCCCAGAACATTTAGGCTACCTCTTCAGGATAATCTATTCTCTAGGTACACACACAGGTCTAGACCTCTAATCAATGACCATAATCCTAGAGTGCTTGTTCTACTAAAAACATGCTAGCCTAAGTTAACTCAAGAGCCATTCTAGCTCTGGTACCCTAATCTTAACTTTGTTCTCTTGTGTCTGCATTATTAGGAAGATTATTCTATAAATTACCTAAAGCGTGGTATTGATAATCTAAATAGTCGTGCAAGCTTATTAGGGAGATAATCATATCAACCACTTAAAGCACCGAAATCATAATCTAAATATTCATACAAACTCAATAGAGAGATGTCATCCATCAATCATCTAGAGAACATATCACAATAGTCAATCCTCCTTTCTAGCACAACGATGAAAAAATATTTAAAATAGCATTCATCTCAAAATTTTATCCCAAAGGCATTTTGGTAAATACTTACTCTTACTTCGCTTACTCATCTTAATTGTCCAACTCAAATTAGAGTCATGAAACTAAAATATTTTGGCCCTTTTCCTTCCAAAACCTAGTGTTCACTATCTATGGGAATATCAACCATGCAACTCTACTCATGCATTTTAATGTCAACATGTATTATTGTTCGTAATCAAACTTGGTTCAATGATTCAGATCTCACGGGAGACAAAGGTTCGCAACTTTTCTTCTTGGAATCTCATAGAGGAGAATAGGATATTTTTCCACAACATACGTTCAATGGATTCTCATTCAAAATTGTTGTTCTGAAGTCCAAAACATGCATTTTATAATCATCCAAGGCAAGGAATGCTCACACGATAGCATCATTTCCTACAAGTATTAATTGAAAAAAATAAGAGTAGCTCTTACAAGAATGAATCATGCCTTTTTCCAAACTCGATTACCAGCTCGAAAATGGTCCAAAGTTTTTGAAATTCCTATAGAATGTCCTAATTTAAATGAAAATAAGAAAAATATCAAAATCGAACTGAAAATATTCGAACAAATGTCAACGAGAAGAAAAAGGAAACTCATACACTTCACACTCGTTGCAAGGGTCTTTACGTGGGGCTTCAACACGCGCCACAGGAAAAGTGTGGTTGCGAGTCGCAAGCTGCATCGGGTCGGTTCAGTGGGTCGTATTGCAGTTTGAGTCAAATGCAAAAGGTCATGTCGATTCAGATCCAAACGACGTGGGTCATCACCAGTTGTTAAACGCGTTGCTTTCCCCAATGTGCAATACGTGTCCAATGCTCGACCAATCACACTCTAACCTTGACTACCTAATGTGTCATTTTCTTGTTCGTCTCTACACGTACACTCTTAAATTTCGACTCTAAGCCTATGTTGATGCATATTAAGTTTTCACCTTCTTCCTCACCTTCAAAACCCTTTACTCTTCTTTTTTTTCTTTTCTTTCTTTTTTTTCTCCCTCCAAGTTAGTTTCAGTCTTCACATACCCTAATTAGATTAGGGGTGAAATGACCCTTTTACCCAACAGGTTAACTTTGAACGATTTTTTTTACAAAAAAAAAAAAAAAATGCATTTTCTCTTATACCTCAATTTAAAATGGGGCCTTGCCCTTTGATCCCAAGGTAGGACATCTAATGTCTACTTTTCCCTCTCAGATAGCAATGTTGTTTTGACGATAGGACATCCTCATGTCTACTTTTCCCTCTCAGATAGTTATATTGTTTTGTCTACTTTTCCCTCTCAGATAGTTATATTGTTTTGACAGTCCCTTCGTCGGACTACTTCTACAACAAACTTTATAACGTGCATTCATTTGCGGATGACAGTTCATATCAAATTTTGCAATTCGATTGAGTATTCAGTATGGAATTGGCGTAAAACTAGCGCGCTTTCAACACTATCAATATCCTCTAAAGGAGGTTCTCATGAATCACTTCTATCTTGGAATAAACACTAGTATGTCATCAATAACGACAATGATGATCATATCAAGAGAGACCTAATGATCAATATATTCGTCGGTTCCTTCAACTCTACTAGACATTGGACAGGTCGAGGGACATAACGGTAAACTCTTAATGCTTAATACGACTCCTGAGAATAGTCTATGGTATGTTCTTCTCTCCAATCTTCAGAGGATAAATAGACCTTGTCATGACTCTTGCGGTCCTTGTCGTCTTAACCAAAATAGCCTCAAGATTCTTTATTGTGTGGTCACCTCGGCTCTCATCTTAGCATGATGCTCTGCCACATTTCATGCTAGAGCATTATTGTTTGTCTGAGTTCTATACAAACTATGCAGAAGTAGTCAATCTTTACTTGAATCTTCCCGTGTTCACCTGGGCCTCTGGTAGTGATAACTCATCAATCTTTGTAAACTCTAATGTGGTGGCTAGCGTTCCTTAAGCTCAAAGATCCTATAACTCATCAATGACACATTGCCCTATCATGCTCCTAAAGGTCCAAACTTAAACTTAGTCTCTAAAACTTCAATCAAAACCTTACAGTCATGTTCCCCCACATCCCTCAAGGTTGGTGAAACCTGTACCTTAATATACCAATATATCCAAACCTCCTTAGGGGTAATGGTTTGCTTGTGGGAGAGATTAAAATAAATAATAACAATAATTATCCAAAATCCAATGATAGGTTTTTTTTCTTTTTTATTTTTTTTAGATGATGTCTAATGTTTTGCCATTGTCAGAACAATCGCGAGAGAAAAATGTTTAGAAATATCATAAGAGCTCAAAAAAAATATTTAAAAAATAGTAAAAAAAATTTAAAAAATCGATCATCGTCAACGAGGGGTAAAATAGTCATTTTAACATTTCTTACCTAACGAGGGGTCTGTGAAGACCGAAACTAAATTTTCCATTTAGAAAAAGCATGCTTGCTTATACAACGATCGTGGAAGCTATTGTTTTCGTCGCTATCTCGAATCGCTTTATTGTACAATGAGAAGACTTGCCTCTAAAGCTATTGCATTTATATGACTGCAAGTGTCTCCTCTTGTGGTATTCCATTAGACTTTGTTGCTACAGAAATCTTTTCTTTATTAACTGATGTTGATGCTGGTTTGGGTTCATCAGGAACTGATCTCCCACTCTCCACAGAAAGAACTTTGATGGTTTCTTGGAGTTCTTTATCTTTCATTAGAGATTCTAGTGTCACATGGCTACCTGAAAAAAGATGCACAACAATGATTTCAAGACAAGAAAACTAAGATTTCTTCTTCTTTTTCATTCGAACTTTTGAAATACAAGCACGTGCTTACGATATCTCCAATAGTGTTTTGGATTTGTCGGGTCGTTGATCGTCTCCTCTTTTGCAGGTCGTGTCGTGTATTCATCTTTCAAGGCTAACAGATCCTGGCATCGACGTCAAAGATTTTCAGTTTTGGAATGTATTTTGAGATGTAAATGTTTTGATATTACAAACTGAAACAGCTTAAGGCGGTATATGTCACCTGAAGTGGGAAGATAGCCCACATTGATGGAGCTTCAAAATGCTGCTTTAGGATGAAATGAGCAATCTCTGGAATACATTGGGTAGGTGACAATATATCAGAGCCTATAACGTTCTTCATAAACCGTCCTCTTCTTTCTTCGTCTTCCTCCCACCAAGCACGCAAAGTCGAGCAGTCATGGCAGGACGGAGCACACACCTAAACCATGCCTCATTCTTAGACAAATCCTAAGTGTGTCATAATTTCGGAATTTTCAAACAAAATCCATACTTTTACACTGTTCTACAAGTTTGATAGTTTGCTTCTTAGTTATCAGAGGCAGATGAACCTATTTAAGAGATGCAAGTGCTTACAGTCATGTAGCTATATTGAGAAGGGATCCCGAACTCTAGATTGGGTTCGTTCGGCATACGTTGAATGCGTAAACCAATTAATCCCAACTCCTCCATAACCTGCATCAAAATCAAGAACAAGGTGAGACTCTACACATCATCTTGCTCGGGATTGACAGTCTTTTGTTCGAAGAGATACAGATGAATATCATAATTTAGTCATACAGGATGAACACATGAAGGAATAAGGCCCAAATCTTCTCCACAGGCTAGCATGTCAGAAGAGTCGAGTAGAACAGGCAGGGTCTTTAAAGCATTTTTCCGCCAAAGATCCTCTTGGCGCTGGAAGTAGTAATCATAGTATAATCTTTTCAGAACATCCTTACTGCATCACGTATGACAAGTAAAATTATTAAAATCTTGCAATGCACAGCAACATCAGATAAAAGAACGTGTTCATCTCAAAGGACAATGGCTAAAACTTTGAGTTCATAGGCATAGTTCTCAAATCATGCTTGAAACCTGTGGCCATCCAAATCATTAAAGCTAGAAGTATCTTCGATATTGAAACGTGGATAGAAACTTTTTGGATTCTCTGGATCTCTGATAAGAACTATGTTCTGCAAACAACAAAAAGAAACCGAAAGCCATGATCCGTATAGAAACGAAAAGTGCAAGAAAAAGGTAGGAGTTTTACATGAACAAGTTCACACAAATTAGGCATTCTTTAATGTAACATCTTCTCTTACCTGTACAAGTTCAAAAAGACTGCGTCTTATCTGGTCTGGGTTTTGCAACTGTGATTCTTCAACAAGTGATTTCAGTTTGGAAGCGATTTTTTTCTCTGTGTCACATTCCTTCTTGAACTGAGAAAGAGGGGGAAAAAAATACCCAGATAAGACATGATATGTTGGATTAGAGCAGAAGCAAAAAAAAAAAAAAAAACAAAGCCACAATGTTCTTCAATAGATCAAGATCCATGTCTCTTATTCAAAAACAGGAATCTGTCCACTAGCTATGATTTCGGTATCGCAAATAACAGTGTGTTCATAATTCAATATTCTGAATTTTTTTGAAATGTTAAGATGAATACAGAAATGCATAATTTCAACATGAAGTGAAGAAAGCGGACTACACAAACTAATAATTAACCGATTTGTCTGTTCGACAAGCACATGATGTTCTCATAGATAGACAAGAGATCCAATTTTATGTAAAACCCATAATAATGAAGTATCACCTCATAAAAGCTCTTCTCATATTCATTCAGGAAGTGTGACGCAATATATCCCCATGCAGCTCCAAATTTATCCTGAAAAATGAAAAGGAACAACTTACTTCAGGGAATCAGAATCAAATAATGCTTTTCAGGATTGCCAAGTAGATTCATAATGTAGCAACCTGTAAAAGTTCAGCCCTGATATATGGACGACTCAAGCGATCGAAGTCCCATATTCCCTCTCTTTCAAGCTCTTCCTGTGGAAGTATAAATATTATTACAAAATTTTGCACAACCATTCACATTTTAAATAAATATGTTTGTTTCTGAAATGAGCAAACGTACCTGGCTTAAAGGAATAGAAGGGCGGAATTTTCCAACTAAACCAGTCATAGCATGCTCTGGAAGCTCCCAAATTCGAAAGAAACCCAATATATGATCAATTCTGTATGCTGTGAAGTAGTTTGACATCTATAATTCAAACATGAATAAGGTTATTATAAGGCCAACGAAGTTTCAGGACAGACGATAAAATGTTCTAGAATTTTAGCAAAACCTGAGTTAAACGAGCACGCCACCAAGCATAGTTATCCTTTGACATCTCCTCCCAGTTGTATGTTGGAAAGCCCCAATTTTGACCATTTTTGTCGAAGTAATCTGGAGGTGCTCCGGTTGACGTGTCCATACGGAACAAAGTAGGGTAAACCCAGGTATCTACACTGTTTCTATCAACACCAATTGGAAGATCTCCTTTCAATATCACTCCTTTCTTTCTTCCATAATTTGCTGCCTCTGATAACTGACATTAATAATGTCAGCAAACAACAAATACAGTAGACATCTTCCATCCCATTTTATCACAGAAGCAATTAATGAAACTTGTGGTTTTGTGACTTTAAGTACCTGTTGGTGCAAATGATATTGGATATAATAGTGGAAGCAGATGACTTCATAATGCAAGCTGTCCTTTGAGATGAGCTTCTCAAGCTGTGAAAGAAGGGAACGACAGGAAATGGACTTATATTAAGAAGCAAGCATTAATCTAACCTATAAAAATCTAGTTCCAAAACAAAAGGAAATAACAGTGATTATCACCTTGTCTTTTGAAAATTGAGAAAAACGACCCCATTGGCTATGATCTGAAGTTTCGAAGAAGTCCCGCAGAAAACAGAACGCGGCGTAGGGTTTTAACCATTCCTTTAAGTAATTCACATAGGAAAGAATATTTATCAGTGTCAATACATTAATTATTATAGGAAGAAGTATCAAAACAACGTAAAGCTTCAGTTTCACCACTAGTAAGAAAATTAAGTATGTTGTTCAGGAGAGAAGAAAACTTCAAACCTCATTTTCAGAAAGATACTTCTGAAAGGAACTGGAATTCAGTATTGAATCTTTCTCCCTAGAAAAAATTTTCCGTGCAAGTGAAAGCTTAGCAGCCATAGTAGCCTCATAATCTACATCCTGCATAGAACCAGAATCAAACGTGGAACTTGAATGTGGGATAACAGAACTACAGACCAAGCAAGCATTTTAATTTTCGCCAAAGCCATAATTTTGTCGTTTGCAGAAGTATAATCTTCATGATTTATTTACCAAAATACAATTTGCAAAAAGATAGCAGATGAAAAATCAGGATTTGATAAACTTTTTCTCGCAACTCTATAGACGAAAAAGAATAAAAATACGATGGATAATGATAAGCAACAAGCAAGCACAAAACAAGATAAAATAAGCATAAGAACTACCTTTCCATCCAGTTCAACTTTTTTCTTTTGAATCTCCAGCTGCAAATTAATTGGTAACGAAACCGATATAAGAAACTAGAAACCGATAAGTTAATTGGTAACAAAAACAGATTAATCAGCATAACATTAAATAATTCTATTAAGTATACCTTGATATCCTCTGGAATATTATCTGAAAGTGCTTGGACTCTTAAGTACAATGGATGCAGGGCAAATACAGAAAGTGAGCTGCAAAAGGTCAATCAAGTAATCATTACGGTAATAAATTAATGTATTGAACCATAACTTCTCAAGAGGTACTTTTTAAGGTGGGTAAGTAATTCTGGTCATAGAAGTTGAAGTAAACTGATAAAAGTAAGAAACAAAATTATGAAGCAACACTAATTAAGTTTGTTTTAATAATATATTTTATTATATCTAAGATTAATACATAATTATAAATATTTTGAAAATGAAGCAACCTATTAAAAATTTCTAAAAGTTCCCATTGATCATTTTGTTTAATCCATTTTTAAAACAAACATAACGTTAGATATGAACATAAATTTGCTACGACACGTGATATTTTAAATTGAAAGACGATACATTTTGATAGGTAAAATATTGAGCAAATCCGAAAACTAAAGGATTGAAATTATCTACTATCACCGGTAAAATAATGAAGATTGGAGAACTTGACTTTAGATTTAGCATTGAAACTGCATCTTACCTGTAAGGATACGAGTCCCACCACATTCCATGCACAGATGTATCGTTAACAGGTAGAAGTTGAACTAAATGGAGACCAGACTCCACAGCCCAGTCAACAAGTAATTTCAAGTCAAGAAACTCGCCAACTCCAAGATCATCTTCTGATCTAACAGAGAACATGGGGATTGCAACACCAGAACCACGCCAAGGAACATCCTGGGTACAAGAAATTGGTGAACTAACTTAGTAAAAAAACCAACTAACTAGTATTCGTCAGAAGAAATTTCTTCACAATAGCTTACTCGCAACATGCCATCTGAAAGTACAATATGTCTTGGTGGAATATTTGAAGCATCAAGGAGAAGGTCCCGGTTTTGTCCAAATTCGGAAGAAATAACTCCATCTTTTCCATATTTACAATATTTGTACGTGAAACTGTTGTTAAGGAAGAGTAAAGGGAAAGAGATATGACTAAAGATGATAAAAATATATTCACTGACAAATATTCCAATTGTAAGAAAAACGACACTTAAGGATATTTTAAGGGGAAATCGGTGTACTGCAAGATGCAGTCACCATGCCAGATTGAATCGCCCGCATAGCTAAGTTTAATCCCATTCTGTACCTTCCACTGTCCTAACTTCGAAGAGCTACCAATGACATAGACCTGTAGTAGTAAAATTTCATAAATTATAACTAGAATTGGAACTGGATGCCAGTCAATGTGAAGTAACAAACGAACCATTTTTTGCAGATAAGAAATAAAGCAGGTTAGAGAAATAGATATTTACTGTTGTATCTTCTTCTATATTTGGACAACAAATTTTGAAATCGACAAGAACAGAATCTGCTTCAGTCAGAAACCAAAACCAACAAATTGGTCAAGATGAAATTACCCAAATATAATCATATGACATCAAAGAAGGATGTTTACGAAATAAAAAGGAAATATCAAATTTACCATCCTCATTCAAATTATTATGAATGAATTTTCCTAGTGGTCTTTCAATGCTCAAAGTCGAACTTCTTCCAAAGACGACATCTTTGAAGGCGAGCTTGAAAGGAATCGCATCTGCACCAGTCTGGAGTTTATTTATCAAACAGAAGAATAGATGAGATCTTTAATATAAGGGAAGTGCTCGTAGGTTCTAAAACACCAATATCTACAAAGCCTTCAGAAGAAAAAATTACAATAGTGTAACTAGAAGGAAACTGAAAAGCAACAACTTGCAAAGTCTTTGAAACACATTACAAAAACAAAAATAAGTGCAAGGATCGAGAGATATACAAGGAGAAAAACACAAGACAAAACAAAACACACACACGCACACAAATGCCTAGGGTTGAAACATAACTCCCCAGGCCATCACTATAGTATTACAATTCTCAGTCATCAAGGCAAACTGATTTTCATCTTACTCAAATCAACGTCATACGAATTTGGTAGCAAACCAGGGTAAAATACACAACTGGAGATGGATTCAGTGTAGATATTTTGGTCAATAAGAATCAGATCCTGCTAGACAAGTAGTTCGCAGATAGTCATAGGAGACTTTTGCTAGTAAACCAAGGTTTTCTTCAACAACTAGAATGCTTCTGAGGATCCCTCTCATTCAGGTTATTCATGTATTTTTACAGTGCTTCGGCTAGTGAGAAAGCAAATTGAGCCTACTCTGACTCTGAGGTTCTCATCATTAGAAATTAGAATTTTACTCGTGTTAAGCTTTCCACCATTTAATCAGTGTCATGATCTTTTGTCGCACGGAATTTTAAATTGAATTTTACATGAAACATTAATGATAGAAAATCAACTGAGCTTTCCCCTTTTCTCATTCTGCAAAGAAAGTTGTTCACGGTAGATAGAAAGAGGTGGAATCTCTATTCCTATTGACTCTATTTCATGCAAGCATTACGTAAGTGCTTCAATGTCGTTGAGTTATCTCTGGTTGCCATTCTTCCTAGTCGAGGTCATAAAAGGGGAACTTTTCTAAGAAAATGAAGTTTTATAGTTTTGTTGTGATATGGCAATGAGAGGGCGAGATCCCTAATCACTATTCTCAGAGGAGGTGCATATCCATACGGTTGCAACCCAATAGAGGCTGGGAAGTGTAGTCGTCTATTGGTTTATTCCCGAATGAGATAAACTTTGTGGAAAGCAAGGATGTTTTCTTTCTTCATAAAAAGAGAATAATGGAAAATTTTTGGAAGATTTGGACCTCTCCTTAGTGTATTTCTTTTTAGTACCTCATAGTTTTTTGTTTAGCTTACACAATGTTCTAAAACCAAACTAGATCAAAGACATCAAGTTCAGTTTAAGATTACAGTTTTAGTCACATATCGAACGCAACGAGCTGAAACATCAAAGAAATTCAAAAGTAAAAGACAGCACCTGCCAAAGATCACGGAGCTCGACGACCTCCCCACCCTGTAATCCTTGAGGTAGAAACAGCTTCCTCCTGTTTCCCTTCTCCCATCTCAAGACGTCTCTATTGTCATCAACAACATAGTAATTGTACTCACATCCAAATCCATTGGACACCGCAATACTTCCATACCATATAAGCTGATCCCCTTGATGAATAGGGCTCAGTAACAACCCCTTCTTCACATTCCACGAACCAAGCAGCGGCTCAGAGCCACAGACTACCAAGCTTTGACCCCACTGAGTATAGTATGGCAATCTAAACCTCACATTCACCGATTTTGCACGTTTGGCTCCAGAAAACAATCCCAAATTCACCATCTTATTCAGAATTGAATCAGACACAGAACAAATCCCCTACACAGAAAACAATTCAACGACTAACAATCTAGCTCCCATGCAAAAGTCAAACAATCCTCTCGCACTAATTAGGAACTAATAGCAGCATGAGTAAACAAAACGAAATACAAATTCACAATAAAATTTCAAAGATATAACGAAGTTAAATCCATCAAAAACGTTCACTCACGAGTCAGGAAGAAGGAAATCCAAGAGGCAGCTCCGTTCGGTGGGAATCTGGCTTTCTGGTGTAGAATATATGAGCGGAGTGGAAATCGGTAATCACCACGTTGGTGAAGATAGAAAGTAAGAGAGAAGGATTGATGGGATTGCTTGATATTTTTTCTGGTGAATGTCCTGTAGTAGAGAGAGAGAGATTCGAACCAGTTGTTGTTTGGCCTTTAGATGAAAAGTGAAAACTGATAGGAATTGAAATCTTTCTGTTCTTGTTACACAAATCCATTTGGACGCTCTGCCAAAACTTTCCCTCGAAATTTTCCCGGAAAATCTTCCAACCCATGTGGGACGAGAACTAAATCAATATCTAAAACCACATGATCAAATTTGTAATAAGTTATTAAAAATACCTCTATACATTTAAAATCAATTGCAATCATTCCTAAATCCTTCTTAATTTATCAAAAAAATCTTTTGAATCCAACTATCAACTCTGGATTAGATCGATTCAAATAGAATTCAAACCCAAACACAACTCTTTATTGGTGTGTCTAGTGAGCCAAATATAAAAAATTCAGACCTCGTAACCAATCATTAATATTAGTTACAAAAAAAACAATAATTTAGCCGATGTGGGACTTTCACCTCTCCTCGAACAAAGCACGTCACGGCTAAGTTTATGGCATGGCTCTGATACCACGTTAGACGAACACGACTCTCCATAATGTTATGATATTGTCCGCTTTGAGTATAAGCTTTCATGGCTTTGCTTTGGGCTTTACAAAAGACCTCATACCAATGGAGTTAGTATTCCTCACTTAAATCCATGATCATTCCCTAAATCCGACTTTCATCATCCAACCGAATCAATAAAAAATAAAATAAAATAAATCTTTTTAAACTACATAAAAACCAAAAGGTGCAAAATAAATTTATTTATTATAAGATTAAATTTATATAATGGTTAATTATGGTCGGACTCCAAAATTAAAATTTAAAATTAAAATAAATTAAAAAGAAAATGGGAAGTATATAAATATCATTAATTGAAATCCACCTGTTCCCACAATTTTCATGACGAAGTCAAACCCTAAAATTGGCTCCAAACTTTGTGTGCTCACTTTCACGTGAAACTTGCTTTCCCATCTTAAATAAAAGTACCTAAAAGTTAGGACTTTGCATTTAAAAACCGAACATTTATCTAATCAGATATCATGGAGATTCTATAGTTAACCTGATTTGGGAACAAGCTTACTATCAACCTAAATTAATTATTTTTGAACTTTAAGGGATCGGGAATAAATTTAAATAATAGTTGGTATATTGTAGAGATTAGGAGTGTACATTCAACCCGACAACCCGAACTATAAGGGTTGTGATGGGTTGGATTAACATTTCGGGTAGGGTTGAGTTCATTTTTTTGAACCTGAACTAAATTGGTTCAGTTTCGAATTCGTGGGTAAAACTTTCGAGATATAAAATATATTAAGAATATTTTTGTAATAATGGGTTGTTTTTTATTTTGTTATTTTTAGTTTCTTTCATATATGTATATATATTAATTATAATTTATACATATATGAAAATTATTTGGATCCACGTTGTTTATTTTATTATTTTTAATTTTATTGTTTTGTTTGTATTATTTTTTTATTTTGTTATTTTTAATTTTTTTTTTTAGTTTTTTTCATATATATATACATATATAAAAATATATTTATGTTTTAAGTTATTTGAATTCATGTTCATAAATTTTTTATATATATATATAATTTTAAAACATAATTTAAATTATAATATATTTATTATCTATTTGTTACAATATTATTATATCACAATTTATATATATATATTTTTTTCTTTTTCTATATTTCTAATAATTTAAGGTAATGTATAAATAAATATATTTTAATTAACTAACCAATTCTAAAAAAATGTCGATATTTAATTATCTTTAATTTTATGATAATATTGAATTACAATTTTCGCTCGTTTTTTTTACTTTATTATTTTATTATAAATTGATTATAGTTTTATGGTGAACTTTTAATATATTTTATTATAAATCATGGATAAATAAAACTATAAAAAAAATTTGACAATCCATTAGAGATTTTGGGTCGTGAAAAGTTTCGGGTTGAGTTACCAATCCAACCAACCCGGTCAAAAAAAATCCTTCAACCCGACCCAACCCAGACCATGTACACCTCTGTAGAGATTTAAAGGAATCAGGAATAAATAATGTATATTGGGGAGATTTGAAGCGATCGGGATTAAACATGGCCACTAACCGACCAGTCCTTCGTATATGGTGGAGATTTTAAGATCGAGATTAAATCATGGCCAATATATTGCTCTTTTTTCTTTTTTTTTCTCCATGTACTTGCCTTTTATGGAGAAAATGAGATGATAAGATGATAATACACAAAACAGTGGGAAAACATGCATGTTTCTCAAGGCCTGCCACCTCTGTGGACTTTGACCTGAAAACTGCATCAACATCAAGTTCCTTAATCAGATCATATTTACACACTTACACACACACCTTCTCACACGTCGTCACTCACACGCGTTCATCGGAAAACTGCCAGTCTTCGGTTTCAAATGTGCTACATATGGTGTGCGAGAATCAGAAACAGTGTGAATCCCCATTGAGTGATTGTTCGATGACGATCTGCACCAGCTGCAAAATCGGTCGAGTCGTGTCAATTGAAAAAGTTTAGACTATCTATATCCAGTTTCCTATCAGTGTCAGTTTGTTACTCACATGGGGATGGCGATGGTGCAAATGATGGATTCATCATTGATGGTTCGTGGTGGTTGGAGTTGCTTTTTGACGGTGGTTGAACGTGAGTGTAAACGACGTTTGGTAATGGAGCTAATGCTGGAGCTGGAGAGACGACTCGATGTTTTGGCGATGGTGATGGAGCAGAATGAACAGGAGATTGCTTTCCTTCTTTCCTACTCGACTTCCTCTTGTATCTATATTGACAACCGGGTGGCTCTGCCTTGGAACTTCTCTTAGGGGATGCTGCTGTTCTTTCAGGGGCAGGGGAACCATATTCGGGTGCACCCTTCTCGGTTGTAGGGGCAGGTGAAATTGCAGGCGTAACAGGGGTGTGATGGTGGTGATGGTGGCGAGTCGGGGGATGATGGTAGTTATGGTTATGGGGCTGGGGTGTAGGAGCGGGAGCGGGAGCGGGAGAAGGTGACCTTACAGGGCTGTTCCCCTCACTGCCATTGAGGTAGTGTTTAAGAATCGAGGAAAGGCGAACTTGCTTAACTTTTCCGAACTCTGTATTATTCAGGCCGAGGTTACTAGAATTAGAACCCGATATTGTTTGAGCTAGCTGCTTCAGTCGTCGCATCGATGGAGTATTTCCGACTTCCAGAAGAACAGACGACTGGACAATCGTAGGGGCAGTCACGGTCGAACCTTCCGCATTCCATAGTTTAATATATAAGATCTGCATTTTGAACAAAAAAAATAAGCTCAAGAAATACAACGTTTTTACTCATCGGACCAAAAGATATCCCACTATAGAAGGAATGTAACGCCCTAAGCCTACCGCTAACAGATATTGTCCTCTTTCGACTTTCCCTCAAGGTTTTTATAACGCATCTACTAGGGAGAGGTTTCCACACCCTTATAAAGGGTGTTTCATTCTCCTCCCCAACCGATGTGGAATCTCACAATCCACCTCAGTCCTTGCTAGAACTTATTCCCTTCTCCAATCAATGTGGGGCCAGCGTCCTTGTTGGCACACTACCTCGTGTCCACACCCCTTCGGGACTCAGCCTCCTCGTTGGCACATCGCCCGGTGTCGGGCTCTATACCATTTATAACAGCCCAAACCCACCACTAGCAGATATTGTCCTCTTTGGGCTTTCCCTTTCGAGCTTCCTTTCAAGGTTTTTAAAATGCGTCTACTAGGGAAATGTTTCCACACCCTTACAAAGGGTGTTTCGTTCTCCTCCCCAACCGATATGAGATCTCACAAGGAACAATACAAACATTTTTTGTAGCTTGTATACTCATAAGAGACTAAGTAAGTTCACGATCGATAACAATCTCGTTTCTAAAAGGAGAAAATGAAAAACAAAAACACAATTCAAATGAATCATAAATTCATCCCATAAATTCAATGCATTGAAAATCAAATGAGCAGTTAAAGATACACGAAACCTCATACGGAGCTAGTCGTAATCCTGCCTCCAGTTGGCTGGTCAGTTCGCTGAAGTGAACTTGAATCTGATGAACAGAGAAGTTCAATGTAAAGTTGAAAAGAATTTGCACTTTCTGCAAAAGAAATGCACTCTGTGGCGGGATTATCGTTATTCCTCCCGGGAATTTCAGTACTTCAAACGAAAAGGCCTCCCCGAACATGGATTTGGTAACATGGAGGAACGACTGATTCGTTACTAGACTTGCAAACGTCGACCTGATTAAACTTAGATAAGTCTGCGAGATTTCTGAATCATCCATATCTGAATCGAGGCTGAACACAACTGTCGTACAGTTTGATCCAGATAACGAATCTAGATATAGTACATCCACCTGATTTAAAAGAGCATCGGATTAAAATACATCGAGTATATAGAGAGAGCACAATCAGTGAAAATAAACAAGAGTAGATACTTTGATAGACGGTATAGGGAACTCTTCAAAAATGTCGGTTTGGAGCTGCTCGACATTGTCTTTCAGCAAAGAAACGGGTCTCTCAACATTGAATGTCGCTAATATATCATGACCTGAAAACAGAAAGTAATCAGAATAGAGACATTCGATTCTTGTTAAGGAATTCATGTCGACTTTCACCATTAACAAAATAAATTCTCGCCCCACACCGTAATATTCAACTCTACTGAGATAGAAATCAAATCGCATCATTTTACATAAATCTGCCGAAACGAACTAAGAACATTAGTTAATGAACTAGCCAGGCTCTTGAATTATACAAGAGTTTGAACAAATCCGAAACTTCGAACTCAAAACACGTTCTAAATTCTACAACTCAATTCCAACTAAACCCCAACATGAATCTCCATGCATCCCTACAAAACACCCTATTAGCCATTAGTCCGTACCGACCCGTCCAACATGGAGAAGGGGCGAAATCACGAAAAACTTACAACATTGGTTTGTAAAATGGGGATCTTCAAATACAAATGTTTAACTTTAAGCTAAGCAAATACTAAAACTAATTGTATGTTTACCCAAAATTCTTGACAAACTAAGAGATAAAGGTCAATCATACAAGTTTTGTCCAACATCAAAGCTCGTTATCGGTATCGGTATCGTAACCTATTCCTTTTCTTGAGGTCGAAGGTTCAAATCCCGACACACTAACTAAGCCAATAATCCATGTAACTTGTCACATAAACTACCATAGATCACTTGAAAGCCATGAAATCAGATTTGTAACCAATGATGAAGACATGTAATTAATCAAACATAACTGATTCTAGAGCTCCAATGAGCATCAAATTCTGGATCAAGATCAGCAACAACACAGAACCACACAGAATCAGCAAGAACAAGTTACAAAATCATAAAATCAAAGCCAGATTCTCAGAACAATTCCCAGATCTATTTACCCTACAAACGAACATCAATCAAAAAAACCCTCAAAACCCAAAAAGATATCAGAATCGGTGAAGAGTTCCACCTCGATACGGGGATTTAAGACTCGGATCCTTTTGATCTGCATAATGGAGAAAAGGGGGAAGCCAAAAAACAGCAGAAACGAACAAGGCAACGGACAATAGCAGAATGAAGATGCATCTAAAGCCAATGAGGCTTCGAATCGAAACACACCCACAACAGAATCGGCCATCGGAAGCTTGGCCTGATGGCCTGGAGCCGACGGCGGACTGCGGTGGCTGTTCTCCGTCGTTTTTGCCCATTCGGAACAATGCCGGCGAAGTGGGTTAAGGGCCATTGCAGCTCTGTTCCGCTAGGGCTGAGTTGGGTGCGCCCATTATTGGCGTGGAAGTAAAATTTGAATGTGGGTGTGTGTAATAATAACGAGACTGCGATGAATATGAAAGAGAAGGGAAAAGAAAACGTCACAGAATCGCTTGGAGATTGAAATTTCTACTCCACTTTGGGGTTTTTGATTGTGTTCTTAATGTGGGTCATTGAAAATCGACTTGAAAATTCAGAAGATTGGGGTTTCTTTTGGTTATTTTGTTAGGGTTTGGATTGAAAATGAAAAACTTGAACACTAAGTGAACTGCAAATGACAACTCTGCTCTTTTTGGTGGCCTTTTGGATCGTGGACTGCCAACTTACCACCCTTCTTTTAAATTCAAATGAAATTAAAAACAAAACTAATGTTCTTTTCATGATCCATATGTTCTTCCACCCCACCCCGTTAGTTCCATTGGTTTTGGTTCGAAAAATCTTTCGAATCAACCTAAATTTTATAAATAAAAGGTACTCATCATTTTACGAGTAAGACATTAAATTAACTGGTTGGTATGTCCTTCACCCGACAACCAAATTAATTTCAAGATTTTTTTAGGGTGTTTTGGTTTATTATTTTAATTTTAATTTTTGGGATTTTTTAAAATTTTACAGGTTCCATAAAATTGTCTAATAAGTTCATGAATTTTCAATTTGTATCGAAGAATTTGCTAATTTTTTTTTTATTTTGTGTTTAATTGGGTCGTGACAAATTCACAAAGTAATTGTAAAAATCAATTTTATGTACATTTTTTATTTTGTTTTTGTTAGATTCGTAATTTTTTAGATATTTGAAAGTTCGAGAATCACATAGATATTGGCTAAGGCTGAATTAATATTTAGCGATTTTGATGATAACTTTAAAAGAATTGAAAGTCAGAACGATTCTAGGTTGGGTGGCCTCTTAAAAAAAAAAAAGGGATGCATATGAGTGAGAACAAAGTATGCTGGAATGACTCGTTTTAGTAAGTGGGGATAGTCTTCGCTCTTAAGAAGCGGAAAGTAGACAGCGTGACCATGTCGTAGAGGATGAAAGGGAATATCGGACCATTAGATACCAAATTCGGATTTCAAGACCATGTCACAGAGGATGTTCAGAAATGTCAGGGCTATCAAGTACTGAATTCAAATTTCAATTTCGAATCATGATCCGAATTGGGCATGAGTTGTTACAAATGGTATTAAAGTCGTACCTCCTCTAGTAAGATGTGGATCGAGGACGAACTAAGGTGGAAGCTGGTGAGCATGTGACACACGAGTAAAAGAGGGGTAAATGAATAAACCAACACCACATCTGAAAAACAACGATCCTCAAGATAGGATGGCTAAGAAGAGCTTAAAATAATTTTTGTATGTCTGTGTTAGATTAAATAAAATATTTTAATAAATTTTATATCGGTATAAATTGATAGTTATCTATATTTAAATTAATATTTAATATTATTATATATTTAAAATAAAAAAATAAGTATTTCATAGATTGATATATTAAAAATAATGGTGTTCAAATTAATATTTATAATTTTATGGAAAATATATTTATTGGTTTCATCTATTAAATATTAAAATAATTAATATATATCAAATACATTAAATAAACATGTGTGTAATTAGAGTTGAACCCGAACCGAACCCGGAATCAGACCCGAATAAAGCTTGTATAAATAGGTGGAGTCAATTCGGGTTTTAGGGTTTCTTCTGTCGTCTGAAGCTGTCCGAAGGGTTCTGTGGTTTTTTTTTCCCGGTTGTCTCGCTTATCTTCTACTCTTCACCAACGCCATGACTGCTCAGACTCAGGAAGAGCTTCTCGCCGCCCAGCTTGATGAGCAAAAGATTAATGTAATCTTTCTCTTTTACTCCCTCTGTCGTGTCCTTTCCTTGCTAGAACTGAAAGATTTGTCACAAGAAACTCAGTCTTAGATCATTTTTTCCCCTTTTTCTTAAGAGTTGCTTCTGATTTGTGGTAGTTTGAAATCAGCTGCAATGATGGATTTTTTTTTTCAGCTCATTTTGTGATCTGAGCAATTTCGTTCTTCGAATCCAATGTTTTATTAGTTCGAAATTCCAGTACATGAAGCAATTTTCTCGCTCTGTTTCAAGTCATGTTCGTGTTAGTTTTGGAGGAGATTAGCTTGTGGTGACTGAATCCGTCGCGATGTAATTTCTTTTTTTTTTTTTTTTTTTTTTT